CATTACAGATTTTGTTAGTTATACTTTGAAGTCTGATCATGCAGAACTACAGGCAGGTGCAACTTAGATCTCATTACAGGATGGACATGGCAAGGTGAACAGTTGTTTTTGCTAGTTAAGTTCTGGAGCTTTGTTACTGTTGTGGCTTAATGTATACTGGCCATAAGTCCCACTTACCCAATTCACTAAATATACATGATTCTATATGTACACTGAAACTTCCAGCACCCTCCTTTATCAACACATCACTGACTCAGGAAAAGGTCAGAGGTCAACCATATTTAGGCAAACAGCAGCCTTATTGTAAAAGTTTTTAACAGAAATAGCGTGTTGGATTATTACATATTAGTTACAGAGGAAGAAAAAAAAAAAAAAGTCCATACAACTATTTACATTATAAATATCTTGCTTTCCAGAAGACAAGAATGGCCCTGCTCAGTGAAAATTAGCAAAAGAGACCTGTCTGAAATGATAAGCATGGTAAGGATACATTTATTTCCCAAATTGACTGTGTCTTCCTGTGTCTTCCTTCAATGTGTGCTTTTCAGCTTTTCCCTCTCAGGTAAAAAGGCACCATTAGCCTCAGTTGAAGTTTTTCAACATTCTTTTGTCAAATCAAACTCTCTTTAAAACTCAAACTTGCCATAGGCCAATGAGCCTGAACATGCATTAAGTTAAACATTTCACTTCTTGCAATCAATTGTTGATTAAAAAAACCCCAAACCTAAAACAAAAATGAAAGAAAAATCAGACCACATTGGCAAGTTCCTAATACACTAAGAAGATTCCACTAAATTCCACTGGACAGGTTGGTTTTCCAGCTCATTGGTGAAGATGACACTTTCACCATTCCCCTGCATACCTCAAGCATCTTACTAATTAAGACAATTACATATTAATGTAGTATTCAAACCTACTGCACAATGATTTTCTTTTTGTGTGTGTGTGTTTGTGTGTGTGTGTGAAAAAGATCACCTTGAGCTTGCAATCAGTTAACTGTGTCCTTTTTAAAGTGGTGGAAGTTCAAATAAGCACAGCCATCAGATTCTTGAAGATGTGTGATTATGTTACAATTCCTCTCTTTATCCACACTGACAACTGGGACCAAGCACAAGTGGAACAGAGGTTCTGCAAATCCATATTAACACCCTCTCTTCCCTACACACACATACAGAAGTAAAGAAAAAGAAAAGCCTAAACATAAATGGAATGACTAGCTCAGACTTTAAAAAGAAAACTAATTGGTTCCTGCAGGTTTTCTTTCATATTGCTCTCCCTGGAAGCACAGAGTTTGTTGTAAAATGCCTTTTTTGTTTGGTTGGTTTTGCACATTTGAATTCACACAAAATTTAAACTCCAAAGAAGCATGAAGGAAGAAATATAAATAGATCTGAATAGAAGTAAATAGACCTGAAACTAAAATAGTTTTTGGTCCTTTAAACTACTGTGAAGCTTGCAATATAAATAGCTAGCATTGTTTACTAGAAGTTACTTTGAATTAAAATACTCCAATTCCATTTTACAATAATTCAAACATATTCAAAACACTTTTTTTAATAAAACATTTGGGAGATTTTCTAAAAGTGTCTCTCTCAGGAAGTACTAAAAGTTACTATTAGCATGTTTTTCATGAGAAAATAAATTGGTGGAAAAGAAATCACTGGCGCTCACTGACAAGTTTAGGATACAATCCAAATCAGTTCAGTAGTACTACTTTGGGAAACTCCCAAAAGGCACTGCATCAGGTCTCATTTCTTCAGTATTGTTATCCCAGAATTAGAAAGTAAAGCAATATCTATGAAGATAAAGGAATGTATATGAACCAAATTGCTTATAAATTTGGAAGAGTGACATGATCATCTGTCTTGTGTAACCTTCAGAAGCCAATGCTTTGCAGGAACTGGTGATTTCCAGAGGAAAACCATCAGTGCATTAGGGCTTAGAAAACCTGATCAGGCTTTCTGTAGCTTTGCTGCTTGGGTTTTTTTGTGGGGTTTGGGGGTGGTTTTTTTTGACACACTGCCATACTTGCACTCCAATTTCAATCTGTTTTATGTAATGCAAACTTGCTATGATCCATGAATCTATTTGTGCTGTGGAATTCTAGATAGGAGGGGGGGAACATCAACCACAATACAATTTGCATAAATCACAGTGATCAACTCAAATATCTGAACTCTCTGAAGATATATTCTAATGGAATACAGTCAAAGCTCACAAAATACTATTGCAGCTATCAAGTCAGTATCTGAAGACTGTTTTCAAAAATTACCAAAATTTTGGATTGAAAACATACATAACCTTACATCAACTTGTAATAAATCAATGCCTCATCCTTGTTTAAACTCAGCAGTGAGAAAGAAAATAGAGGGAAGGTCTTTTAAGAACTGTTCTGACTTATTTCTTTTTTTTCCTCACACTATCCCAAAATTCTCCATCTGAAAAAAAAAGCAGGGATGTTTTGCAGCAATTTTCCTCTCAACCATCTCAATGCAGCTAGTGCTCTGAGCAGTCACCGACAGATAATGCTCATGCCATTCTCCTCACCCTGCTGTTGCCTATACACATGACTTAGGTGAGCCACTTGGAACAGAATTTCCTTGGGTATTGAGGCACTTATGACACCAAGAGGCTCTGAGGCATATTTTCAGAAATGCCAAGGTGTCCAGCTGCCATTCAGGATGATGTAAGTTATGCCACTTCTGGCACAGGCTCACTGATTGCTCCCTATGGTGCCTAAATACCTTGGAACATCTGTCACAGATCTTTGGCTTCCCACTTTCCTTCACTTCTGCACTGGTGGCAGTGATGCTTACAACTGCAAACCTCAGAGAATTAAGTGAAAATTGTTGCCAAAGTACTACATTTAGTAACGTGTTAAGCAGAAGCAGGTTTAAAAGATCAATGGCAAAATTAAGGAAAGAATCTATCATTATCAAGCTGAATATAATTTTGGAATAATGGGGAGCAGACTTTAGGAGGATGGCATCAAAACTTCTAGAATCAGAAAAAAAAAAAAAGTGGTTTCCCTTAAAACATCCTCAGAACATCCTCACTATGATCCTTTATCCAAGAGTACATGTGTTATTGTAAGGTATCAGCAGACAGCACTGAATTCCTGGCACAAAGCAAAACAAAGGATGCTATTCCTGCTGCTTCACTTTGGACACACAAGGACCAGAACTTTACAGAACTAATGCTTTTCTTCATTGATGGCTTTTTTTTTTCTAGTGTCCAATGTGGACAGCTCCAAGTCTCCTCCCCTAGACAGAGCTTCTCATGAAGGAGACTGATTTGAGGACAAAAAGAGATGCAGTAATTCTTTCAGGCCCCATTTCAGCAAGGCACTTAAGCACATGCTGATGTCGATCACTGCTGAGCAAAGGACAAAAGCACACGCTAGTTAATTTTTTGTAAGCATCCTACAGTCTCCATGAGATGTTTGAACAAGCCCTGGTGCTTAGCAGAATCAGGGAATAAAGCTGATTATGTAACTCCTGTGTTGTGAGTCCATTCAGTACCCACCTAAGGACACCTTCTCTGGTGACTGCTTCTCCACCCTGCACTCATGAACCCAAACAGGACTGAATTATACCATGAGACTAAGAGCACATATTTGCCTTCTAGAGATGAAACATGGCAGGTCTACAAGTCGCCATCTACTCTAAATGGCTTCTCTGCTGTTGCCTATGCTACATCTCCATAACATCACTGGCAATGAACTGGGATTACTCCAAGTTTCTACAGTCTACACTGGTGATATTTTTGCAGTTTTGCCTCAATGAGACTTAGTTTAGCTTTGCTTAAATAACACACCCGAATGGTGCACACTAAGGAATGTAAAGTAGATGCTAGTTACCTGAATATTATTAATATGTATCTATGGTGAATTAAATCTGGAGGTGATATATTTAATTATTGCTAAGAAGTCACCCTTGGTGTTATTGCCTACATACCTACAGAGCTTTGCTGTTAACCTTTCAATACTTTTATGATCATTGGCTTTGGAGTGAGAGTTACATCACTCAATAATGACCTGATGTTTCATGGCTTCTCAAGAGAGAATATTGCTAAATATATTTAGCAGTAGTAAATTATTGCTTTTAAAATCACTGCTCTGAGTTTTTAGAACATTAACAACCTAATTTTATTCTCCAAAAACAATTTGATAAAAATCTACCAAAAATATAACCAGGGAAAGACCCCCACTTCTTATAGCAATTCTGATACAGTTCAGACCTACCAAGTCTGATTTTATTTTATATCCTCTTCATTTTTATCTCCCCTCCTCCTCACCCTGGAGAGAAGTTTTTTCCTTCTCTTTCTTCCCTTTGAAAAAAATCTGATTTGATACTAATTTTTTATTCTACCACAGAATGGCAGGCTTGTAAGCCACCCAATGGAGCAGCCCTATTCTGGTAGAGTTTTGAATATTAAAGAGTTAGTGAATTTAAAATATCCACTAACATAGTCTAAACAGTTTCTCTCTCTGGCACTTGGAAAAGCATTAGAGTAGGATTTAGCTCATTTCAGTTTACATGGCACACTTTGGTAAAAGGACAGATGACTTGGATTTTGGTTAATTTCCAACTCAGATAAATGATGACCTTGCTGTGGAAAATGCCAATTGCTGTTTTGGCTGGGAAAAAAAAATTCAACAATTCTGAAATTTTGTGTGGAATTTTGTCATTCTTGCTGTTACTTACCATGGGAAATCCTCTGCTTTATTACATGGCAAATTCAATTTGATATTCAGTCACTGTTGGGTTCTTCAGAACTTGTCCAAACTGCCCAAGACCCCTGGCTGCGACCCTTCCAGGCCAGCGCATGAGCTGATTGATAACCTTGGTTGTTACAATGTAGGAAAACTAGACCCATGCACTCTGTGGTTCTTTTCTGTGCAACACAGATGCTAAAACTTCCTGGGGAGTCCACTGATTTGTCATGAGGAAATGAAGAGCCAAAAGCACCCAGAGAATGCCTGTTCTCCGAGTAGCAGAAGTGCCTGCTAGGGAATGACGAAAAGGGAAAACAACCTCTGAGCTGCAAACACACACTGAGAGGGAGTGAGCTGCAAATATCCTTTCTCTAGCTAACCTAATAAAGATCTAGACATAAAATAAAAACAAGTTGGTGCATGTCCTTTTGATCACAGTCTGCTTATTCTCCAACCCTGTCACACCCTCTAATTTACAAACATACATGTACTTCAAAATAGCGAGCTTATCTATGCCCTAAGATGATAACTCACTTCACATTGACAGAAAAAGTTGCTTACTGATACCTTTCTGGGCTTAGACATGCATAAAAACCCCTCACTCTTGTTCCCTGTAACTTGCAAAGATACATGTGCTTCCTTCTAACCCAGTCTTATCTTGGCATATCTGCTCTAAAAATCAGAACAACAAGTCTTAACATTCACAAACTAGCATTTTTTCTATGAAGCTCCGTGGCTTCTTCTTTCAATAAAACTGGTTATTATTTCAAAATATATATACAACTCTCAGCAGAAATTTGGTGCTACATCTTCAAGTGTCTGAGGGAGCCACAGTTCTATGTGGTTATTTACACTTCCACAAGTCCTCATATGTAACCTCACCAAGGAGCAAACGGATAGAATTTGTACTGTAAGATCCCATATGTAGTTAAGCAGTTCCCCTGGAATGGGCCATTTATAGTCGTGGACACTAAGTGCCTGTGCAGTGGTGCAGGCACTCAGCTGCATGCACTGCCAGGATTCTGTTGGCACATGTGTGTATGTGTGTGAGGAAAAAATGCATGGAGATCCCTGCCTGCCTCACTGGGCAGATGGCAGAGCAGACAGTGAAGGCAGACACACACTCGTATGGTGGAGCGTGGCCACTGCACACCTTGTCATGCCAGTGTGAAAAAGACAGTTGCAGGTTGCTGGTTTTGCAGCCATTCATTTTACATCTTGTGGGGAGGGGGGTAAAAAAAGGATTTTTTCAGTTCCTTTTTTCCTTTTGCCCCCCAGTAAGCATCACTGGAAGAAGACCAAAGCAGAGCAACTATAAGTTAAATACACACTTGAGCTTAGCTGCATTACATAACTCTGTAGGAGAAGCAGGCTGAAAAGATAATTTTTTTTTGTTTCTTTGTTTGTTTCACTTAAATCTCTGTGTTTTATTTCTTTCTTTTCATCTCTTAGCTCCCATCATTTTTTCCTCCTAGGTTCCATCATCCTCTGAAGAACGCTGGGTTTCGCAGGCAGGCGGCTAGTCACCTGCAACAACCGAGGGGTCCCGCAGAAGCTTCCAGGCTGCTGTCCGTGTCAGACGCCAGGGTTTGATCCGTGGACATGGATGAGATGTCGTTGACAGATGAGGATGGAGGGAGGCTCTCACTGCTGTTCACTGCTGCACCTGTGCTACGAAAACGAACACCAACGTGATTAAACCCGAAACCCCAGAAGGTGCCATGTGTTAAAGAGCAGACGGTGCTTACCTGGTGGTATGCAGGCCATTTTATCCAGTGGCAAACCTCAGCAGGAAATGGGCCATACAAACTTTAGACATTGGATAATATTAAATATCTTACCAGGAAATTCCACCCCTCACCAGTCTGCTTTGAAAAGCTATAGGTCATACAGTGTTCGTCACCCCACTTCGCTCTAGTCCGCTTGGAGTTCCAGAACACCCAACAGCATGCCAGGGTCATACAAGGTGTGCCAAAACAAAAACAGACCCCACCTATTCCTCATCAATTCCTCTCATATATTCCTCATATTCTCATAAATTCCTCCATATTCTTCTCACAAAATTCCAGCTTTCTTAGTGGCTTAGTCTAATAGAGTGGGTGGGATCAAATCACCCCGTGGAAATGCAGAGTGGTTTCTTTCCCTTACTAAGGATTAGGGCACTAAGCCCAGGATTTCAGCCAGGACTGTATTTTTGTACAGCCAAGTTTACTTTGCCTCTCTAAAAGTATGATGGTAACAGATGTTATTGCAAAAAATCACTTTGACTTTATGAAATGAAGAATGAACCTTCCTGAGATTACCATTAATGCACCTGAACATTCATCACATCCCTGAATATCATCAGAAATTATCTGTCTGATCAATTCAGACAACTGAATGACAAATACAGAGCCATGTAAAGAATGTATTTATCATGCACCTATGATTGCTTAACTGCTACTGCTCATTAACCTCAGCTCAAACTAAAGTTTGCAGAGTAGCATAAACCTGTTTGATTGGGTTTTTTTCCCACTGAACTTCCAGGCAATGGTTTCCACTGAACTTCCAGGCAATGGTTTGGTTTTTTTTTTTTTTTGTTCTCTTATACCAAAATTAACACTGTCTTCAGTTTGAGAGAGATACATTAATTTCCATTAAATATTCATGATAATAAAATGTGTCATTTTGTATGATCTTGCATAGCAAGAAATTACAGCTAGGCAGGTGACATGGTCTTTGTTCTGTAGATAGATGCCATTTCATTCTTCTGTCTGAAAAGTGTGCTCAGCCAACTTTTACAAATTTTCATTTCCACCAAATGGCTAGAAATGAACATCTATTATCCAGTAAAACTACACAACTCATATATTCCTAATACAGAGATTAAAAGTTCTCCCTACGGCCTAGGCAAAGTATATGCTGCAATAGCAAAAGGAAAGGATTTTTGTCAGTTTCTAGTTTGCAAAAAAACATTAATTTGAGAAAACAAGCCACCATACCATACCTCCAACCACTATTCTATATTCCTCAACTTTTTCTTCCCTTTATACATATCCACTGTAAATATGCACAAAACAGAGACAGATATGCTCACATTTAGAGCTCCAGATGGGAACTGCTTTCTGCTGTTCTAGTTGTACATTATGGCATCAGAACCAATTAAATTCATTTACTCTCCTGATACATTTGAAAATAAAATAGCTAATTTGTAGGTGCTGCAGAAAGAGCAATCTTAATGAAGTCTGACTAGTGGCTGCAGACAGCAATCGTCCATCCTCTCTGTCATAAATAGTGTTTCGCAAAGTGTTATTTATGTGTATCTCATAATTCAGTACAATCCTGTTACTTCATGTTTACATGTTATTTAATCATGTGGTATTTTATGAAAATACTAATCAGTCAAGACAAGTGCATTTATGGGTAGTCAAAATATGACTGAATTAATTCGTATTAATGACTAAACAATATATTACCTTTCTATGTTTACCATGCTGGGCAGAAGCCTGCCATTAAGTCATGGATACTGTCCTAAGAATAAAATGGAAAGAATTCCAGCAGGTTTAAACAACTTTTGATCAAACTGCTGCTTTCTTGGATGAACATGCACTCAGCTAGGCAAAATAACTGAAGAAATAGCTGCAGAAATTGTATGGGTGAAAATTTTGTTACACTCTGTCTGATTCAGCACCACTGAATTCAATAAACCCTGCTATGATCTTCTCAGCAAGTATCAGTGCAGCCCACGAGTTTCTGGAAATTGCATTTTTATGGCTATTCCTATCTTTCAGCACAATTCCATATGACACAACACAGATGTGACAGCTCCTGCTGCAGCCCCAAAGTACCCAGACTCATGAAGTATCCACAAAAACAAAGGAAACCATGCTAAACCTCAATGACAGAATTAAAGAGCTCAGCAGCACAAGGCAGCACTTGGGCAGCAACCCTCAGAAGCCCAAACAAAGCTGTCCCAGTCAGTAAGGAATGCTTCATTTGCTGTGCTACAGCAGTTTGCTCCTGGAGGGATGTGTGCCAGGTGAGACAGTGCAGATGTGACACAGGTGCACTCAAAAGAGAAAAAGAGCCCTATTTATGAAGTTGCTGTTTGGCAGGAAGCTTCTCACTGACTGCAGGATTGAGGAAAAGTGCTAAAGGTTAGAGCAGGTGAGAAACAGTTCCTGGGATCTGTTCCTGGTGCTGCTATTGCCTTGACAGCTTCTCTTTTAAAGCACACATCAGCTTGTGTGCTGTAAAGAAGGGATTCTTTCCTGAAAGGGCTCCTGAGAAATGCTGCTAAATAGCACCAATGGAAGTGCCTCTCAGACTTCAACTCAAGTGATGCAGACTTGGGGTAAAAAAACTGAAAGGAGAACTGCAGCTTTTGCAGTTTCCAAAAAAGCTCAGTGTCTGTACTGGGGATCTGCTCAGCCTCTCATAAATCGTGTGAATAGCAGCTCCTGGGATCGAGTGTCACAGTGCTTGGCAAGTCCAGCAGCTGCTCAATTTAGAGTCTGCACATGACAGAGGAAGTGTCCTACTAGTAAAGGTGTCCAGTAGTTCCTGGGTGATGGCAATTCAGACAGCAAGTAAAGGGCAGGAAATGAAGACTAAAAGATCCATTTTCACCTAGAAAGGGAATGCTACAAATAAGCTGCATTAAGATCTCTGCTATTTACTGTACTCTGTACCCAGAAAGGAGAGAGTTGAAAATGTTATGTGTGAAACTACAGCTGGTTAGTGAAGGCTAGAGGAGAGTGTGAGAGGAGGTTAGATACTATGGACAGAACTTAAGTTTAATTCTAAATAATCTACAGCTTTGTATTAAACTTATTTATTTTTTCAAATGCTGCTGCTTGGTAATAACAGAGACACTCTTTTTGGACAGGCAGAAGTGGCCTCTGCTGGGAACAATTTTTGACATTGTTGATTTTGTTCACTGAACATAAGCATGAGGGGCAGCTGCTTGAGTTTCCAAGCTGATATTTTGTACTAACCAATTCTCCACAGAAAAGAGATTGACAGCCTGATACACAGGCACTCTACGTGGCTCTATCAATGAGCAATTATTATCCCTGATGCTGTCAGCTTCAGCAGTCTCCCCCAAAACTCTTATCAAGTAATCATGGAAACTAAGCTCCAGCTTGCTTGCCATGATTATTGATAGAGCACTAAATCTCAGCTTCCTGAATTCTTGCCAAGAATACCATCCAATAAGCAGAGCCTCTCTCATTTTCCTTATGCTCAGAACTGGTGTTTTACCTCTTTCTTCCATTATTTCATTCAGCTGAAAATCTAAGTCAGGCACACAAATTGAAGAAAAACAGGAAATCTACTGTTTCATGAAACAGCCTCATCTGAGAGCAGTTTGAAATATTTTATGAGCTTGTTGGTGCCTAACATTCAAAAAACAGTCAAAGAGAAACAGCAGAACACATTCTAGGTAAAAAATTACAATTTTGTGTGTTTGAAAATATTTTACATAAACAATAAAAACCTTCCACATAGCAAAAACAGAATATGAAATTAATAAAGAAATTCCTGGGTAGTTTATTCCTGAAACAAGCACCTATAGTGTTTCTTAATCATAAATCAACCTGCAGCCACAATTCTGCAAGAAAGAAAAATTTAAGGATGAGGATTTATCAGATAAGTTTTAGGGGCCCAGATTTCTTTTCAGTGGTGGCACCATAGTTAGGTAAATTAAATCTGCAAGTTCTGTTCTTTGCTACTTGGCAAGAACACAGTGGATTCTTTCCAATATATTACTTCATCCATGTCAAAATCCAGGTGCAGGGCTTCTGCTCCAACATCACCACCCAGCACTTTATTAACTCCCTCCATTATTGACGTGTTCCCCCTTGTCCTGTCAATTACTAGTGATGTATTCTTGTTCTAACATTACCTTGGCTCAGCAGCAAGTGAAAAATGAGAGTGTGAAAAAAGCTGTCTGAAAATATGCAGAGAGCACTGAGTTAAATGATTACACTTTGAGGAAAGGCAGTTTTACTCATAAATACTGCTGGAACACTGTGCTCAAAATCTGGGCACTTCAAGTTTCCCAGTGAAACTGTACCTTCACAAATATGTATTTCTGTGTACTGGAAGTAACAGTTTGCATTTCTGTGAAAAGACTGCTGATGTGAATTTTACTCTGAAAAAATTTAGTAGTTATTTTTTTGTGACAGGACTTTAGGAGTCAGTGGTTGAAGACAACTTTTCCTTCTCACTGAGGTGTCATCAAGAGTTGCCAGCCAGCTGTTCTAATGTGGTTGGACTCCTGAGAGGATAGACTACCAGATTAGTACCAGACACCTACATGGGGCTGGGGTGGAGGTCAGGTGTGCAGTGTTGTGTGTCCAAGAGATTAATGTGTGCTAACATCACCAGTTTTGCTTGTTTCAACTACCAAAGTATTGGCTCAGTTATCCAGCCACAAGCAGCATGAAAATACCAGTGTGAGAGAAAGTTCCACACTCAGAGGAATAAAATCTGTAACCACAGACAATACCAGCACAACTGTCCCTCAAATAGCAAGAAGACAATTTTTGAAGCACTATATTAGCATGACACTGGAGTACAATTAATAAAGGTCAACTCATCTGGATCTCATAAAAACTTCTTCATTGGCCTGCATAACTGCAAGTGCAGCCTAAGCCCTTCAGCAATCTCCATTCTCTCTTTGCCAGTAGAGAACAACACCAAGGTTATTCATTGGGGCTGAGTACCTGAAGGAGAAGGCTGTCCTTTTACTACGCCATTTTTAGTCTTTTCTTCAGAATTCATTACTTCTTTGTAGATGAGTTCTGGAAAAGAGAATTGGGACAGTTAGTGACAGAGGCCAGTGCCTGTGATCAGGAACAGAATAAATACCACATAAGCTTCCTAAGTCTGCCCTGCCTTGTCTTCCCAAGTCTGACAGCTCTACTCACCTAAGACCTCTCTCTTCCATTCCCCTCCCCTCCTCTCATCTCCTTTTGGAGCTGAATGGAGTCAAATGGGATTCAGCCAGAGCAGGGGAACTGTTTAATGCTGCACTATCTAGAAGAGAAGCAGCACAATATCACAGCACCTTTTACTGTGGCTAAAATTCTGATGCATTGCCCTGCTGAACAGTATTCTGTTCTCCTTGGATTTCAGTGAAGCACTGGAATCTACATCTCCTGTGTTAACAGTAACCTATGTAGAAAATGATAGCCCTCAGAACATTTTCCATATTTTTTGCTATGTTTTTGCCATTTTGCCACTGAAATACTCCTTCCCATGTAATTCTAAACAGCAATTACCTTTCCATTCTTCGATTGTATGTTCCCTTTCATCCAGCTGTTTATCATATATCTGAGGAGGAGGCTGCAGGAAAGAAACACAGCTGTTTAGTCAATTGTCTGTTATAGTGTAAATAATCAGGACTAATTACTTAATTAAAGATAATTTCTCCTCTCTCTCTTTGCAATCCATCCTGTACATGCAAAAACATCTGAAACACATTTGAATATTAAGGGGATTAACACTTCTGGAAGTTAACTCTTTTTGTAGGAGAAATCAACATACTCCTGTTTTCCTTTCTTAAAAAGGAGGCATAGCTGCAGTTGAAATAAAACCCAGATCAACAATGTCATTGTGCTTGTACTGAGCCCAGAAACTCCACACCTAAATTATTTGTACCAGCAGAGAGGTACTGTCAGTATACCAAACAAACAGCAGTCTTGAATAATTACTAGTAACATTAACATATTTAAGTTATCATTAACATTTTTAAGTTGCTCTTTAGATTTGCTTCTATACAGACTTCCTGAAATAACTCTATTTTTTTTAACTAAGTCTCTCTGCAACAGTTTCTAATCCATATTCCAAATTACCAAAATTTCCAGTATATGTATTTTTAACTAACTTTACTTTGAGTAGAAAGTTTTTTATTATTTGTTTCTTTTAGTTGATGAGCATCTCAGAGAACTGGCAGATCCTGGAATTTACTGAGACAAAGGCACCTAAAGTTTCAGGGAACCTGAACACCTGCTTTCATTGGGCAACTAAGCCATCATTGCCTCTCCTGATGTTGGCTGCCAAATACAGCAGAGCCAAGGAAGGAAGGCTCTAAAGACGCCAAGGAAGACTCTCCCCTCCTTCCTTCTACCCAGAAGCTCCAGCATCTGAGGTAAGAGCACCTAATGAAGATGGAAACAAGATCCACAACACTTTTCTTGCTCAGATGTGCTTCCTCTGACTTCCATCTTGGGTACTTGACATTGAGTCCCCTTCAAAACATCCTCCTATTATATGCATATTTACCAAGCTGTTTTCTTGAATCACTGAGAATTTAGTAATTTTCTCTCAGGACTCCAACTCCATCAGTCCATTAAGCCATTTGCATGCTACAAATACTACTGAAAAAGTAATAGCTCAGTGACATGATATGGACCAGGAAAATTATATGATAGCTGTACTGGACAAATCCACTGAAAACAAGGGCAGTTTCCCCAGAGTGACATTTATATTAGGGCTGAAGATAAGGGGATTAGGTGAAGTGATGGATTGCTGAGTCTCATACCTGAGAAGGAAACACATCATGAATTAAAGTGAGTGCCAAGCCTCAGCACGGGTACCTGAGGTTTTGTTATATCAGCAAGGTAAGACACAGCCCCAGACCAGTGCAGCTGTTCTCTTGTTACCATAACCACCCTCCTCATTCCTTTCCAGTGAGCCCTGATGCCTCCAAGATTGGCACAACCTCTGTGGGGATTCTGTTCTCGTGCTGGGTGTTGTCAGGGAGCTGGATGCTACAAGAGTACAGGTGATCCTCACCACTGACCAGTGGGCTGTGATAGGTAAGCTCCACTCCTCCCTCTGAGCCTGCTGGGCTCCTGCTCAGCCCCTCAGCCAGTCCTGGAGCATGCCAAGAAAATTGAGGGGGGTAGGGATTTACAGGAGCAGCAGGGGAGGTGTTTGGCTGAACTGACCTACAGTGACAGAACCACCTCTTCTCTGCCAGGTGCAAAGGGAGTAGGCAAACCAAGTTGGACAAGAATATCCTGAAAGCAGCTTTCTAAAAGCTTCAGGGAGAAGCCTACAAAAAGCATAGGTGGGGTTAAAATTGCTTCTACCAAGTGTAAACACTCTTTTTACACTTTCCATAGAAAAAATTGTATTTCTCCCCCAGGACAGAAATAAGAGGATAGATTCCCCCACTACTTTAATTCCCAAAAACTAATTGCAGGATCAAAATGAACGAGTGATCAGATGCACCTGTCCTCAATTCACACAACCACAGAATCTTTGGCTTATTTCTCTTCTAATTTAATTCAGCTACATCTTAAGCTGGGGTAATAAGCACCAAGAAAATCAGCAGTAATCATTGCCTAGATTAATACACTCTGGAAACAAAGGCATTTTCCAGGGAGAGAGCCCAGAATAACCTCACTCATTACCAAGCTCCTATTTTTCTGTAGAATCAAACAAGGGAGAGCAACCAAGCTGTCCCTCACACACTGCAGGATGCCAGAAGCTGCACCTGCACAGCATTCTACTGCTCTGCCAGCGCTGACATTGCAGACTATTTACTTGTGAGTTAGCAGAACCACAGCTATGAGACATGGCTCTCAGCAGGCATGAGGGAGCCAAGGGTAACAAACATTCAGCAAGATAACAGCATGACTAAATCCCTGCTCTACAGAGGCTGGGTCTGTAACCACTCTAAAGCCTGTGCAGAGCACAGTCAAATGGAGCTCTGCTGGGAGCCCAGGCCAGTACTTCACACTGGGAGAAGTGAAGCTTTCCCATCAAAATTCCCTGAGTCCTCCCCTTTTCATTGATTCAAGGCACAGAGGTGAGCTGAGAATACCAAAACTATTTTGAGAATTTATTTTCTCATAATTTTCATTACTTCATAGGAGAACCACAAAGCTTAGCATACTGTTACCAACAGATTGTAATCCTCTTCATGCTGACCACCCCTTTTCTGCTAACTTGTTTGTTTTGTGGCTTTTTAAAAAAAACAACTTCTAAAATTAGAGGAAGAAGGTTTTTAAAGATAATAAAATTAGAGGTTTTTAGAGATAATAAAAATGTATTGTCTCAGCAATGGACCAATCAGAGCAGCTGCCATACCCACATCCTCCTGGGCATCTGATTTTAGTCTTGGTCCAAAGCTTTGCCTAAAACTGACTTTGCTACTTAAATGTTAGAAAATGACTGAGTTAATAATCATTAACTTTCCATGTAGATGCAGCTGCAGTGCCATAGGCATTCTTATAAATCCTTCATACTGCACATGCCAACTAGAGTTACACAGTTTACCTTTTATAGGTGTTTAAAAAAAGACTGGATGTGGCACTCAGTGCCATGGCTTGGTTGATAAGGTGGTGTTAGGTCATAGATTGGACTTGATGATCTCCAAGGTCTTTTCCAACCTAGTTGATTCTTCAATTCTTTAAGTCTCAGAAAAAGTGCCAAGTTCAAGTAACATCAAATGAAGGCAGAGTGTGGATCAATCCTATGGGTGGCAGCATCTAGCTTCAGTTTAAGGCAGCCATTTTCTCCCCAAAAGAGATTGATTTGCAAGCAGTTGCATTGGCAACAATAACAAAGAATGAATCTATTTTTGGATATGGAAGCAAAGAATGAATTATATTTTTCTTATAGGTACTAAAACACCCCCCTGTTGTTTCAATGGCTCTTGGCTTTTCCATTTTACAAATTGATTTTCAAAATATTTTTTAATAAATATAACATTCGCTGGACATAATAAAAATTAAAAAAAAACCCCAACAGAAAATATCAACATGGGTGTCTTTCTGAAAAAGAAAAAAAAGGCAAAACAAACAAACTAATAAGCAAAACCAATCATAAAACAAACCAAAAAGCAAAATACACAAAAGACAAGGGAGGTTTATGTTGTCAGATAAACAGCAGGAGACTACTGGATTTGTTAAATACCATTCTAATATCCAGAGAGGAGAAGTTTTTCACTAGAGAAAAAAACAAAACATATGTTGAAACCAAAGTATTCTCACTTTCCCAAAGCCACATAGATTGGTTTGTGTGCCACCGCTAGAAAGCAAAGGGAATGAGCTGGAGCTCACACTCCAGCAAATCCTGCCATCTCTGTCCCTGCCTCTGCAGAGCTAGTGCCAGCACAGTGGAGACCTTGGGATGAGCTGTTTTTAGAGAGCTTGGCAGAGCAAGGCTTGAGTCTGCATCTCCTCCCAGAATGGCAGGGTCTGGGGCAGCAGTTGTAGAGCAGCACACTGAGGTAGCAATGGAATTAGCAAGATAATGCAGATAAAAGAGGTCTGGAGGATGCAAAAATTAATGGTGTGAGGTTAAACATTTTGTTAAATAGCTTAGATCCTTATAGCAAATGAATACAAAAATTACTTGGTGTTTTGCTACAACCTAAATTGTGTTACTGATACCATTCATATATTTATTTTTGCAGTGCAAGCCCAAGTACACCAGCGTGCTTGTCACCAGAGGTCTGGCATCTCTTTATTTACAAAGTGCTTGGGATTTCACCCTGTACTGCCAAAGGGTTCCACAGTGGGCTAAGGATGATCTCAGCTATGGATATGGAAGAAGAGAGGACTCTGGGCCCATTAGTTCCTTGGAGTTTGTGCAGAGCTTTTGGAAAACTCCCCACGTTATGTGCATCAAGGAAATTGTAGACAGAGCTGTTTCTGAACAGCTGGACCATAAGGATGCCATGCAGCAGGAGTCAAGATTACTGGGCTACACACAGATGACTGAACAGCTTGAAGATAAAACAAGCAAGCTGAAAAAAGATTAAGTTTGGATCAAAAAAGAAAAAGAAGAAAAGAAATGCCTTTCTTCTCTAACCACTCCTCCTCACTGCCATTAACAAAGATTTTTGCAGAAGCTGTGTTCAGCTTCCGTAATCAATCAGCAATGAACAGATAGATGCTGTTGACTAGAGGAAATGTCTGTGCTTGTGCACAAAGCAGAGATGCACACTTCTTTTGTGAGACAACAGATGCACACCATCAATCTCTGAGCAGAAAACCAAGCCCTGTAACTGGATGCTAAAAAATGTGGCAGCTCATTGAAGACTTTCTATACAACATCTTCACATACAGAGCTGAGCAAGAGAAAAGAACAGCAGAAATGATGCACAACCTGACAGCCCTGCTTATGTCATGTAGTGAGGGTGACACCTTCTTTGAAGTGTGTTCGCCAAGGTCACAGAGCTCTCCAAAGTGCTTCTCCATCATAATGGATGCTTAGCGCTCACAGGTAAAATAAGAGGTGGGTGATTTGTTTGGTTTTTTTTTTTTTAATTGTGACAAACTGGTTTTAAAAAATTGTATTTAACAGCTGGTCATAGAGAGTTTACATAGGGCTAAGACAATACAGCAGCAGTTTCTGTCCTGGACCTCAGACTGAGAACCATAAATAAAGTTGTTTTCATTAGCAACACTGGAAACAGCATCGCATTAATAGAAGGTAACACACAGATTGGCGTGCACAGAAAAATGAATGATAATTCACAACTCAGCCCCCTGTGGATGGTTCTAGATGCAGAAATACTCCAGTGAAATATAAATCCTGTAAAAATAAAACCAGGAATGAAAGCTGTATGAGTTACAGTGAATAAAACCCTATAAAATCCATCACTGCTGTAAAATACTGTCAAACATAGAGGAATGCTTGAAAGGAATACTTTTAACATCTGATGTTTCTGTTTCTTAGAAATCTCTCTTCTAATGGATGGCACAGATCAGACAACAAAAAATAACTGCAGGTACAGGAAAGTTCAAGACAAATTTTGAAATCAGTTAACAGAAACATCACATAAGAAGCTACAGCAAATTTTGCAACTGGATTTGTTCCCATGAAATGGAACAAGTTTTCCCAAGTAGGAATCAATATGACATCACACATACATTCAAAAGGTTCCAAAATGGAATCCAATACAACATGAATGGTCTCTTTGAATATATCAATAAGAAAATGAAGAACTTTACTGTGCTAAAGCAATGTGTAGGAATCCATTTTGTTCACAATTTGATCATTTTGGGATAAAACCCAGTGACCTGCAAATAGGCATAAACATTAGGGTAGATATGAAAACTTAAATACCAGATTTGGGGTTTATTCACAAATCATCTCAGTGAAGGATAAGAATGTATAGCAGCTTCAATAAAAAAAAAAAAAAGGCAGCTGGGTAATTGAAAACAGTCTCAAGCACAGCATTTTCAGACAGGAAAATGGAGAAGCTAATATGTCATCAGGGAGATAATGAGATTATCTACAACAAACAGGAGAGTCTGCATGTAGAGGCAAGAGATATTGGAAACCTCTTCTTTCCAGAAAATAGAGCAATTGGAGGGAGAATAGGTATCGTGTGTGTCATTTATTTATATAATAGTCCAAATGCTGTTATATAGGTAAATATCCTCACATCAAAGTAACAAATATAATATTTGTTTAAAAGTGGATCTGAGACAGTTGCTGAAAAAAAGAGACTTCCAGGAGAGTCTTGAACTAAAGAATAAAACAGAGAAGTAAGTTCTATAAATTCTGATCCTGATTTTACAGTAGATTTCCTGCACTGTATTAGTAAATAATACTTCTGCCCTGTGAACTCTTGTTTCCCTACATTTAAATTAGGTGTGAAGATTGATAACAGATTTCAGCATCTGGGAATTCCACACAACCCAAGCCATACATGTTCTCCTGTTCATGTTTTGCATGTTCTATTTTTAAAAAACACATATTTTATGTGTCATTGGCTGAATACAGAAATTAACTGTAATGCTATTCAGAATAATTTCAGAACAAAGGCGTATGCTGTGGAGAACCTAATGCTGTTTTTAATCAGAGATATTGTGGCAAGCTGTGCGTGCTTAAAAGAACCTGGCAAACTCCCTATGTTAGACTGAAGAATTCCCTGTAAATCCAAAATCCACAGTAAGCTCCAAACCTGTGCAAGGCCTGTTTCTAGCTGTGACTATGAGGCTGTTTCAGAGCTGTTGAGGACTTTGGCTGTGTTTGTTTCATGAAGAAATTCTGTGGGAGGGCTCCAGCACTGTTTGAGTAACCTCCTGTGGCTGGTGAATAGTAAGTCCCACATCTAATAACAGCTCATCTTCCTCTCTGGGTCAGAGAATCAAATCAGAGCATTTAGGTTCACCCAGAAGAGTTTAATGCTGTGACATATTGTGGGAGAAAAGGTATTTCATTCCCAGCACTTCCCATTTGTGCACAGTGTTTGCCCATTAGAACAAGACATAATAGTTCTATTGCCCCCACACAGTCTCTGAAAGACCATAAACTTATAATAGACTTATAAAAAGGGACTGCAACTGTCTCACTAGTCTGCTTTTTCACTGGGTAGGGCTGTTTTATCTGTTCCCCTCACATTTATAATGCTGTAAATCTGAGCAGACACAGAGGGTTGTTACCTCCAGGTTAAACTTTGACACCAAATTCTCTGCTTATTCCCTGAGCTGGCTTCAGTGCTCTGCATTGTCTACTCCAGCACATGCTGACATTTAACGATGCTGCAACAGCTCACTTCAAAATTCCTGTCACATTAAATTCTTCCAGTTACCTGTCCTCTCATGCTCCTGAATGAAATGGACACTGTACAACAGATGCCTGGCTGCTTTTGATGAATTAATTTACCGGGGAGAAGGAGGAATCTAACTAGACAGCAGAAGTTACCTAATTCCCCCCTCCCCAGTACTATACTGGCTGAAAATGCATCTTGTTTAATAATCCTAATCTCTGTTATCTCTACTGTACAGGATTACTGATACTGGGAGGAATCCTGTCTCTTATCACAATATGGGAGGAAAACTTTAAAAATCCCAAAACATCCCACTACCAAACCTTTAGCTACGTGATGAAAAACTTCTGTCTAACAGTGCTTATCAAGTATTACCAAAAAAAAGGAGTGCTGTGAACATGGGCAGATGCAACACACTGCAGGCTTCTAAATCCCAGTGGGGAAACCAGGAAAAATAGTGGGAAGTTAAGCATTATGCAATGACTAAGCACAACTCTGTCACTAATTTTCCCATTGCTTTCTTGTCAGGTTCCCTGGCTGCACATTTGCAGGGCACTCTGTGAAAAAGCAGGGTTGCCTCATAGTCTCATCATGCTGCAAATTCAACATTAACAAGCCACATGGCCATTTTTAGGCTTTGAAATGTCATTCAAGTACTACTTTCTTTGTTCAGTTGTACCCTATTATAACTTCTGTGGTTTTGTTCAGTATAGTCAAATTTACTGAGTCAGATTATTAAGTGAATAAGCAAAAGTATCTACCCCTCAAACAGCTAATTTGTTGGATGTTTCTAGATGTTTTTTAAGTCCCACCCCTGCTATAAATTTGGCAAGATCTAACAAAAATACATGAGATGAGTCATCTCCCATTGCTTTAGGAAATATTTACTGAATTTGATCCTAACTTTTCTGCAACTGTAACAGGGCAGATATCTCAGTGGAGTACTTGCTGGAGAACACCCTTCTGAGCAAGAACAGAAAATCACCAATATCCCACATATATTTTTTTTTTTCTCCAGAAAATAATTAGTAAATGACTTGTAGCTAACCACTGCCACTGAAGGTGTGTCAGCATGAACAGATGGATAATTTAATAAACTGTTCATTATGTAAAGAAAGTCTTCCAATTCAACTTTCCCTCTGAAAATGAAAGTGGTAAAATGAAGCCCTATAAAGTACTCCTAAATAACATCCTCTGAAAAAATCCCATGTGTTGGAAATTTGATGGGAGATTGAACATTCAATTTACTTTTGAAGTTTACTGCACTTTCAAGAACACAGACTGAATTGGAGCATATCACTAAACAGCAGTGATTTAATTTTACTAGGTCTTCATTTCCTATGGTGGCTAAATCAGATTTCTGAACCTGTTTTCATACAGGATATTACAAAGTATCTCTCTGAATCTATACCTACACCCATTATACCATACCTTTTATACCATGCCACTGAAGTGCTGACAGATTGCACTCATCCCTGTTAACAGCAGCCTCACCAAGGCTTACAGAGAGGAGTCTAGAGCATGACAGGATTATAAGGAAAAATCAATTTTTGTTTGCACACAGTGTACATGATAATGTACATTGAACCATAGCCCAGGAAAACACCTGAGCCCCTAATTTTATAGAAAAATTTATGTCCTGCTAGGATTTTTCTGAATTCTGACTTCAGGATTTTTTTTTTCCAGAATCCCAACTATTTTTTTGCTTAATTCTCTTCCTCTCTACATAGATTCTTGAACACAAACATAAAAAGAGATGTTTGCTGTCTTCCACAGGGAAAGGTTTGGAAAGAAAGATAGTATCTTCTGCCAGATTGAGTTCTATATCTAAAAAGGTGAGCTAGTGGATACAAAATCCTTTCTAGAAGAAAGCAGAAAATGCTTGAAGTGTTTTTGTTCCTCCCATCTATTATCAGTGAATGTAATAAAGAGAGAGATGCTGTCCCTACAGATCTCACTTCACATCACTCCCCAGACCACCGCAGTCCCAGAATTGTTGTTTCCAGCATGCTCATCGTTGTGCTGCTGTAAAGCAGCAGGAATCCCTGAATCCCAGTTGTGCTGGGCATGCTGAGGGAGCAGCGCTGCCTCACTTACCGCCTCCACCTCTGCTGGGTCGTACCAGACGTTAATGTATGGATGCTGTAAGGCTTCATCTACTGATATCCTCTTGGCCGGGTCAATGACCAGCATCTTTGATAGGAGGTCCCTGGCTTGGCTGGCTGGAACAAGGGAAGCAGAGAAACACAGAGTTAATACAAAATAACCTCTGCCTCCAGAGGAGCCTTAGTAAGGGTAGGAAAAGAGCAGTGGCACAACCCTTTGAGAGATTGGTTGTGTATGTACCTCTGCTCCCCTGTCTCCTCATAGCAAGAGCTCTTCAGCAATCATTTTAGGTCTGATTCATTAGAAAGGTGCCAAAATCAGGGCTGACACCATAAGTTCCCTAGCGAGCTTTAGTGGCGTTTTGCATATGTGCAGATTCCACACAGAGGGATTAATAATACCCTAAAGAAAACATGCTTGATGTGTCTGTGATTATTAGCAGGGTCAGAGTAAAAAAGTTCACATAAAGTCTAAAATCATGGCTTTACTAAATCAAAGCCTGAAACTTACAGGCACTCTTAGACTGGCTCAGAAAATCATCCACAGTTCTCTGGATGTTTTTAAGTTTCTCACCTAATCTGCTGTGAGGCATTAAATATTTTAATGAGGCATAGAGATTAGGTTAATCTTAAGGCATCCCCTTAGAAGCAATAATTTCAAATCTGTAGCCTTGGGGCATGGAAGTGTTTGGAACAGCTTGAGTCTTGTTTGTCCTGCATAATGAAATTTAAATCAGTGGGGCACATCATCCTGCACTACATATACATATATATATACACACACACAAACATTGAATTTTACATTGCAGCATTGATTTATTTTACCTGCTAATATATTCCATTGTGCCCATCAGGCAAACAATGCCTGATGAGGCAAAAATGCCTGTTTGCCTGTGGCAAACAAAGCCACAAACTCAGCTTTATATTACCCAAATGGATTTTTCCCAGTTGGAGTTTGTAAAAAATATAATACCATCTTAACCCACACAAATAAATTATAACAACACATATTTATGTTATTATTGTTATTATTAACTATGTAGTGTTCTAAGCTCTTGGATGCTCAAAATTATTTTCTGTGTAAGTGAAAAAGACAATGAAAGGAAAAAAGTTACAAAGAGCAGTAAGTGCAAAGATATTATTAGGTATCTCATCATACATGGATGAGTATCTAATTAAACCATTAATATTACATTATATTTAGGCAGGGCATGGGATGATACAGTGCTGCACAAGTAGGGGTTCCTGTTTCTTGCTTCGTGGCTATATCTTCAAAACTGGCATTCAGGATGCTCAAATGTATGTGCTTTCTGTACCCAAAAGATAACAGCACTGTTTGACAGTCATTTTTATACATTAGCTGCAAATGCAGGAATATTCCATTATTCAGTTGTGTTGTGGTAGGAGTATAAAATTCTGTGTATCCAGAAGCATCTGCCCAGACCTCTCCCCTCACTCCCAGAGCCAGGACAGCAACTGGGCTGTGAGGCAGTTGTTAACTGGAAGAAAACTCTGGTTCGTGTAATGACATGCAAATTGCAAGCAATTGGAAACCATTAAATGCCAGTGTGGGAGTGGCTCCAAGGACTGGAGGGGTGCGGAGCCAGTGCACAGCACAGGTCTGCAGGGGCTCCAGGGATGCCTACTAAACACACAATAATCACTCTTTCCCATAGGAGGTTAACGCTCCATTAAAGTGAAAAAAATACTTCAATATATGATTAAAATCATGGCAATTTTTCTTCTACAGGGGGATATCTAGTCACACTGTAATTAAGTTAGTTTTCTACTTCACATATCTTAAGTGACCCACAGGATTTTTCAAAAGAAGAAATCGACCCCAGTGGATACTAAGCCTCGTCTACTTCATTTTGGCTGATGTTGATAATATATTTGTATTTTCTAGCAAATGTAGAGCTATGAGGCAGGCACTTGGCTGAACTGGTATTTTTCACTTAAAAAAAACCAGTGCAAGTACTGAGATCTCCCAATGGAAGTTCGATTGCTCTGTTGTGTAAAAAGTTCAAGAATAAGAGTAAAGGAACACCTCAATTCCTTGAGGCACAGGATCATCATGTGGAACACCATGGGAATATTATCAATGCATCAGTGATTATGTTCCCTTGGCTGCCCAAGCACCAGGATCTCCAAAAGCCATTTCCAAATCCTGCCTCTCAGCTGAACAAAACCCATGCAGTCACTGGTCTGCAACTAACTCCATTAAATGGAGTGCAACTAGAGAGAAGAAAAATTGGAAAAGCCTTCATTCCACTGCAGCTGTTGCACATGAACCACATCCCTTTGTCAGACATACCTTTGAGTTTGTTGTGTTCTGAGTCTGCTGGGAAGAGAGAGTCTGGAAAAAGTTTGGGGAACGTGAGGCCAGCGTACTTGGGTCTGTTCTCGACGTAGTTCCGTACTGTTGGCTGCAGCTTCTTCATGAATTCTGGACACGGTGTTCCCAGCTGCTCAATAACTTTATTCCACTGATCAATATCTGAACAGCAGTAGTTAAGGGAAACAAAATGCCAACCCCCACACAGCCTCCTGACATTTCTGCATGTGTCCTCTGAGAATCCTCAGAGGTATTTAACTCCCTTCGTAACATCTTTACAGTCACTCTCTTTCCTTCTCACTATTACTCCAGATCCAACAGCCTGCAAAGCGAAAAACTCTCACACACAATTTCTTTGCATCTACACTTGTTACCTTTTTTTTTAAAACTTGAAATCCAGTGACTTGCACTCCCTTTTTTTACATGCAGATAATTGTCACCACTTCAGCTTGGAAGAACAACATGTGCACCTGCCTCCCTATTCAGTCTGTGGAGAGGAAGACCCAGCTGGCTTAAAGAAGTTCTGCACAGGACAAAAATCTTCCTCCACTCGTCTGCTTTGCATTTTACTCTCTCCAATAACTTCACTGATGCTAATTTTTCCAATACCAGGCAACCAGCAACCCCTCAAACACAATTTGTTTGATTTTGCAAGAACGCACTGGGACTCATTTTCTATTGACAAATGATGCACAGGTGTAGGCAGATGTTTCGCTTTAACTGAGAAAGTGATTGCTAATCTGATACTGGCTAATGGGAAACAGGCTCTAATGCCTCAAAAGAAAGTGTCTTACAGGCATTTCCTACTGAGCTTTTTATTTGTTGAGGTGTTGATATTTTAGTTTTCTTGTGGTAACATATTCGGCACCTGATGGGTGTTATGTAGCTCTTTCAGCCACATTCAGAACAAGACTGGCTGTGCCAACAAAAAAGCCAATTATCAGTAGCATCTCTACATCACATTAATTCACAGAGCTAAGAACCTGATGCCTACCTGGGGAAAAACAAGGAGGGTTACATGCAGCCATGGTACACTGATGCTGAGAAATACGATGAAGGGAGTTTTGCTGAGAACACACTGGAAAGAAAAGGCTTTTAACAGACAAACATTCAAAGCATTTCAGCACAGAGATTTCTGTTTTTTAAAAGTATTCTTTTAAGTTATTATTTTCATCAGTATCATAAGTGTGGAGGAGTTTTCCAAATATTAAGACAGATAACAGAAAAAATATAGTCAAGCAAAAGCAGTTCTTGGTTGCAGTAGCATTTTCAGATTTTAAAAAGTATTTTATTTTAGAGAAATGAAAACAGTATTTTCACATATCTTGGAAAGTAAAGACAGACTAAATTTGGACTTACCTGAACTATCTTATTTGAACAAAATAAAAAGTGAATAATTCATTTAAAAATTGCAGGTTTAATAATCAAAAGTGCTTAAAGGAATGAAAATAACTTAAACATATGCTTTAAGAATTCTAAACCAGTGTTTTAAATTTTTTTATTTTCACCTGAAAAAGGTTGGTAGAAATAGAAGCAGCCTGGAAAGATTTTCCTAAACACCTCTTATTTTTTAAACTAACATTAATAATTATATAGAAAAGCCCCTCCCACACACACCCCCTATGTGGGTTCTATGTAGCTTATCTTGTGTTGTCCATGAAAAATATCTTTTTCTCAACAGAAAACTGAACAATTGCAACAATAGTGAAGTTATCTAAGACTACAGCTGCTCAAAGAGTAGCCTGAATATTTCATTAGAAAATAAAGAGGTTTGACATTTTAAACTTATGTTCAAGTCAAGACCCCTCAGTGACTGCTAGCTGAACTGCTTCAGAAGCAGCTCTCTGAGGAACCTGAGAATACAGAGTGTGCAAATGCTTTGCAGAGAAGAACAGAGAGTACAGAAATGAAGAGGCTGTTAGTTGTGCCAAGAGAAGCTAAATGGGTGAGAGTGCCAAGCTCTAAAATCATCACTGGAAGCATTACCTGTGCATGTTGAGTGAAGTGTTTGATAAACTGGGAGGGCCAAACACAGAACTTGTTTCAAAGAAGGTCACCCCTGTACAGAGCAGGTGAACCATCTCCCAGGCATTTGGTGAAGGCCAAAGGAAAACTTATCTTTGGGATCACAGAATTATGTGGGACTTGGACACTCAGAAGGAACAGGTAGTAAGATGCCCTAGACATGAGCAATAAGGGAAAAGGGGTGCAAGGTGTTCCCAGAGTAGGGCCTACATGATGGGAACCACCATCAGTGGTGACGGAGAAGGGAGAAGGAAAACCCACAGACAACAGATCAGCTCCCACTGCACACATTTCTTCTAAGCTGACAGAAAGGCTCTCACTAAGACACAACACACAAGCAGACTACCACCCACAACTGGGACATGTTGAGATGGAGTCATCCCTGCAAAAGCCAGAGCCAAAGGGAACAGAACAGGCAGAGCCACCATGTCCTGCTCCTTTGACTGGACCTTTTGCAGCCCTCCTCTAACCAGAGCCAAAAGGTCAGGCTTTATGTCACATCAACCTCAGGGACTGGTTTTGAGTAATGAATGATCTGAATGGGTAATTGGGCTTCTTTGCCATATTTTTTCTGACTTATGTTATTCGTATACTGCCAAAACCCTTAAATAAAATACATTCATTTTCTCCTTAGATACATTTACATGTACACACACACACACAAACTGACATGATGGAACGCTCAGGACTGTTTTTGTCCTGATCATAGCAATAACAAAACCATGTTAAGTGAAAGCAGTTAGATAATGTTTTAGTCAGCTGGACACACACATTTTCTCTCTAGCAATGGTGCTCCCCTTACCTAGACCTTAAAACCACTGGATTATATTCTGCTGGCCCAGCTCCTTTTCACTGCAATGTTTTATGCAGTCACAGCGTGTGATGCATCTGTGATACACTTGGTGATGAGAAGTTGTACTTATCATGGTATGAGATTATAGAAAAGTCTGGGAAAAAATCTGAGGTCTACACATCAAAGCAAAGAAACAGCTTTCTCTAGCTGCCAGCCAGCATTAGCTTCAGGAATTCTGCATGAAAACAAATGTTACTACAGGACAGTCCTAATGTGAATCAAAATCTACTGGAGGTGACATGAATTGATTAGAGATTGTAACTATTGATATTATTGAAAAAATGGTACTGAAAGTTAGTGAGCACATAACTCTGACAGAAGTTTTCCAGAAAAAAAAAAAAAAGAAAATAAAAGAAAAAAATCCCTTAAAGAAAAAAAGAGGACCCTGTTTTTCCCCTTGAAATTAAGCAAATGTTAGACAGACTGACAATTGGAAAGAATTCCAACCCAAAGCTCTGGAAAATGATGGAATTTCTGCTTAACAGCTATTTGAATCAGTTCAGCTGTTCATTGCCCTGAGCAGGATCAAGGAAAACATGTCAACCATTCATAACAGCATCTGTATGGTTTAAGACAGAAGAAGGGATCTAACCTGGATTTATTAGCTTGCCTCTGGCACTAACAATAAGGCATTTAGTAGCATTAACATGTCCACACAGGGTTACAGCAAAGATTTCAGAAAATAGATCTAAAATGAGTATCTTCTGAAGGAAGCTTTATCACTGAGGCCTCAGGTTGCCTCAAGCTCACTCACCACCTTTTCTCTTTTCAGCTTCATACTCTCCCAAGGATTGTTCTCCTTTGCTTTCTAAATACTTCGTTATTTATTTGGAAAACAACACAAAGCTGAACTGCAGATTAAGTGACATATTTTTCTAAAGCAAAGGCATAAAAATTTAATGGGAAAATAATATTGTGAATTAACAATAAAGCATTTCTTTTGAAAAAAAAACCAGACTTCACTGTGAAGTCATCTATTTAGAGGCACAGGCTGAAAGTGTAGCTGTATTTATTTTTTCTGTGTGCATTGATGCAATATAGTTCAAAACCATGGATTAAAAAACAGTGTTTTGTTCATTCAGTTGTAAACCTCAGATAAATAAAATTCCTGAAAATTTCCATACAACTATAAGGAAATTGAGTTTGGCTATAAGAGAAAATTTACAATACTTCTCTGTCAGAAAATATTAAAAGCATTTCTATAGTATACAAAATAGTAGCTTGTAATTAAAAAAACAATTTAGACAACAAATTATTGTCTCCCTATCTTTTTTCCTCCCATGATGTGTCTGTAAATTACACTCTTTTTTGGAGCAAAAAATTGTGTTTTGTTAAGTTCAACAGCAAGGTTTGCAGGAGTCACCGTTTGCCTTAGGATGTTTCAGTTGTACTGCAATAGAAATAACTTAATCTCTCATGTTTGTTCATCTGAAAGAGAAGCCTTTTTCTGACATGCTCCTCGAGCAGTATCAATGGGGTGTGATGTGGGAAACAGGAGTGATTGTGCCAGAAAGGCTGTTTGTGAGAGAGCTGCTGGCATTGTGCTGGACAGTGCTGGTGCTGTGGGAATCGTGCTGCCCTGCCCGGCACCCTGGGCTGCTCTTGCTCCACCTGCCCAGCAGCACCTCTGAACCAGCTTTGCTGTGCAGGAGCAGGGTTTGCTCTGTCTGGGTAAATGTGCTGCTTCTGGACATCATTAAAATGGGGATGTGTCAAATCTTGCTTTTCTTAAGGTAGGCACAACATAAAAAAAACAGACACAGGGTATTTTGTTTGTAACAGGCAGACAGGGGAAGATCATCTCTTTTCAATCTCAAAATCTTGGGGAAGCCACCTTGTTCATTGTTTTCTCCTTAAATCTGCACATTCCACCAACAAAAACTAACTGCTCCACTTCAGGCAATTTTTTAATGCTCATAACTTGTCAAATTTAGAATAATTACTATTAAAAGCTCTATAGTTCCCTCCCCAACATCAAAATTGTGGCAACAACTGAAAAGATGATAGGCCAATTTTTTTTTTTTAAATTTTAATTGGACCCCTCTTTTTAAAATAAATCTGCTAAAAAAGACACGAGCCAGCTTCACTGTGGGAGACATCAGTGTCACGTTCATATTTTTTCCACAGTCCCACAATTTACACATTGATGCCAACGCAGTTTACGAAAAAAACCCGCACAAAAGGAATTGAAAATGCTACCATCTGACAAGACAGTAACTATAAAGCATTTTCTGTTCCAAGGTGAACACTTTGAGAAGAATGTGGCATTTGTAAAAATTAGACT